TACTCGGAAACGCAACAGCAATTTTCACAGTTGCTCCATGCAACGTCGACGTTCGATATCGATATCGATATCGATATCGGTGTCGATCAGTGGGGCATTGTGTTCCGGTTCATGATCGGCCGGCAACAAAAATAATTTCGCCACGACGAGAGAATACAAAGAGGCGAGGCGAGGCGAGATCCGGAAGCGCCTCAAACAAGGAAAAAATAAGCGGCGGTTTTTCTGCCCTTTCAGAGCGGGGGAACTTTTTTTCCCCCTACCTTTCAGCGGCGTTCCCGGCTTTTCAATCGAGGAAAAGACGAAGAGGAGAGAGAGGGACGTGCCGGCGAATAAAAATAAAATACGTCGCGGGTCGTCGCGTTCGTTCGAATCGGCGCTGATTCGAACGCGCGTGCTCTCCTCGCACGCTCGGCAACGTCTCGCGATAAAAGCCGCCATCAGAGGGGGAGGGGGGGGGGAGGAAAAAAAGTCTCTTTGATACACGAACAGTGTAACGATGTCGTTAAAACCGTTTACTTGCGTGCAAGGAAAAACCTCTATTTACCTGGTTTTCCTTCTTTTGGCCGCGTGATCGCTATCAATGGGAGAAACTCTGATTTTTATTCTCGGCGAGGTTTACACGATTTTGTGGATCGGTGTATATATAATGTTCGCACGAAGATTATAGCAGAAGTAACGGAATAAATTTCGAGAAACTCGTTTGAGACTGGCGAATCTTGCCTGGAATTTTGCAAACTTGATTTGGAGGTACTGTACTCTTCCTCTTAGTTGAAGTTAATGTTTTATTATCAATTTCTTGATTTTTCTTGTTTTCTGTCTCTTGTGTACAGTTCTGTTGCAGGATCCGTGACTAAATAATGAACAAACAGCTCAAGGACAGTATAGAAAATTGATAGGATTTTTAGTTTCCAGAGTACTCTGATATTTCGATCAGGGAAGTTTGGTCCTCAATGGTCATCAGAAAATTATAAAATTCCGCCAGTGCGAAAGAACATGATAATGAAACATATTAATTTTAAAAATACAGAGTTATAAAATCCCATCGGTGGCTCCAATATTCTAAAAAATTGAGAATATCGATGGAAAAAGAGATATATTCCATAATGTGATATTGACACAATACTAATTTCATCCCTTGAAGAACCTTCTCGTCATTAGACAAATGATCAATATAGTAATACAAGGTATCCTTCTTCATTTACATTCTAGAATATTGTTTATATTTCTTTGAATTTTTTTACTGACGATATTAATATTATATTCGTATAAAAAAAAGAAAGAACAAGATAATGAAACATATTAATTTTAAAAATACAGAGTTATAAAATCCCATCGGTGGCTCCAATATTCTAAAAAATTGAGAATATCGATGGAAAAAGAGATATATTCCATAATGTGATATTGACACAATACTAATTTCATCTCTTGAAGAACCTTCTCGTCATTAGACAAATGACTCTTCATTTACATTCTAGAATATTCTTTATATTTCTCCGAATTTTTTCACTGACGATATTAATACTATATATTTATCTAAAATATAATTATATATAATAATTATATATTAATTATTACATATTATATATCATATATTTATCTAAAATACCACAGAAAGTTACATTTAATAATTCCAACTGGATTAAACAAGTAGTGGCTTCGTTCCACCTTCCTCGAAATCCATTCGCACGACACACATAGATAGAAAGATAGATGGCCATTACTCGGGAAACGACGTTGATTGATATTATCCTTTTGGACGAAGCAACCGCGAGATTCGAGGTTCGATTCTAGCATGTCGCGTTGGCTCCATCGATCAGATAAATATCGCGTAGATCGAGGATCGAGTTGATCGCCTCGAGTTGCCTTCAGGCAGATGAATCTGAGATTGCGCGATATTACTTACAATTTGCTTGGCCGGTTTTCTGCATTCCACTGACGTCACTATTCCCCTCGACGTCCACCGAAAGATACACATCGAGATGCACACGCAGTCTCGATCACTTGGACGTTCAACACTTGACATAATCGTTCCTCTGTCCTAGATCGATCTCTCCCGATCGTTTCAAGAATCTTTCCAACGTCCAGACGAATTTTGAGAAAGACTCGTTCCCGTGGCCTATCTTCGTGGTTTATTCGCTTTATCGGAGAACGTTTGAACGCTTCTTTTAGCGGAGGTTCTTTACGAAGATTTAATAATTTTTCTTCTTTCACTGGTTGAAAAAATAATAAAGTTTCTTTCTAGGAATTTTAAAATTTTAGAATTCAAAGCACCGAATGACGATTCGCCTATTCTGCAAAATGCAAATTCTTGAAAATTCCCTGCCAAAGTTACTCTTCAGAGTCTGAAAAGGCGAAAAGTTCCATTTTTCCAATTATCTATAATGGAGTTGCTCTTCAATGTAAGAGCGACCTCTAATTGCATCCTTAATGATTTAGCTCAGCAAGGAATATTACTGCGCTTGTTCACCGTGATCGCCTGAACACAGAACGAAAATATTATTCGTATCGCGCTCTGCCAAAGAAGTTAACGAGCTAATCTGTCGGGCGATATTATTGGCCATTCATAAATAACGACGAACGATTAAAAGTATGTTAACCTCCTGGATGAACCTTTCTTCGATTCGATAACTCGTTTCAGTAGGGAAATACGAAACGACAACAATAATCGAGTTTCGTAACGATCTTTCGCGCAACGTGATCGTCATATATATATATGTTTGTTCTTTATCGTCGATGGCAGTGGTCACGGGTTCTCGGCATACGTCGGTTTTTAAGCTTCGTCCAACGTAATCGAGAGCCTCGAATGGCGGTGTACCGTATAGGAGGAAGGCAAGAAAGGTCATGGCTCTGACCCATTTCGACGTTTTATCGGCCTACCGCGCGAGCAAAGTTCGCATCTCGCGCGGTGCACGAACCGGCTCCGCTCTTCGTGGAACAAGATTACACACACACACACACACATACGTGACTTCCGTTTTCTCGCCTCTTGTTTTCCCGCTTCTTCTTCTTCTTCTTCTCTGCCCTCCTTTGTTTTATTTTCACGGCGAAATTTGAAAAATACCCGCGACTTGTTATTCTTCAAGGGTTGTTTCTACTCCGGAGAGAGGGGGAGGATCGAATCGAGCGATTTTCTAGAATTCTTGCGAAAACTTTTGAGGAGGATTCTCAGAGGAAAGATCAACTTTTGTAACTGATACGCGGAGGAAAATTTTTACGTAAGTTTCGCATTGGAAACAGTTGCAATTATCGAATCAAGCATTGTAAGTATAAATGGACAAACGTCGTTTGTATTTCTTTTTTTTTTTTTTTTTTTTTAACTTCGATACTGTCGTGCAAAGTAAAGTAAAGACATTGACAGTTTCTTACAATTTTTTTTCCTTCTTTTTTTTTT